TGCATTTCCAGACGTTCTTTTAACAAATAGTATTACTAATGGTACAAGTTAATTGATTTATTAAATACTCAACTGTGTAACGTTTGATAATCTTCCTGAACTGTAGTACAAATTTTGTTAAGTTCAAAAATAAACATTCCATCATCTTTAATCGTCGTATCAAAGATCGTATGAAGCTTCAATTCGGCATTGATAGTATGATAAACAAATAAACCGCTGTCTTTGCTTTCATAATGACTTCGCACTTTTGAAAGTGCTTTGTGCTTTCTTAAGACAAAGCGACTCTCCTCAATTTTGTCGACGATATCGAAAGAGTATATTGAGAAATTAGCGAATACACTACTAACATTATGTTTTACCATGAGATTACAAAACATTTTGCTAAAAATATCTTTACTATTGTGTAAATACACCAGAAGAGGAATCTCCTATAAAGACAAACTGATGAATGTTGTTACTGGATATGATTAAATCAAACCTCAGAGACAGCCTTCTCAACTGCATCATCAAAATTATCATAAATATTTGTGCCAAAAGATGTTGCTTTGAAATGATTCCAATCCAGAACTGCAGGAATAATATGATCTGCATCATCATCAAGTATTTGTTGTTTGCTATCTTGGATCACAGATTTTAATACAACAGATGGATCAAATCTAAATATGAATATGCTTGATATGTTGTTAGCAATAGCATTTACTACTTCAGGACATTTTAAATTCTTATTACAAATATCAATTAATGGCTCTATTAGTGATTTGTCACTGACATCCCATAAAACACTGTTATAAATCTTATAACCCACAGTGGAATCTAATAGATTGCCTTTTCTAAGAGCAATGCCATACTCATCAGATTGATTTAATATGCACAAGAGTAAATCAGTATTCTGGAAATTTATAAAACTTTATAGATAAATAGTTCAATTTGAAAAGTTAAATATTTACAAGTAGGTTACAAACTGTTATAGCATCTTCCAATTGATTGAATTGAAATTTACCAACCCCATCAATTGTTGATATGAAATTATCAAATGCTTTTTGTTCTGCCATATTTTTCTTAAATAACTTCACTTTATTACTTCTTCTTCTTCTCCTTCCTTCCCTTCCCACAGCTTCTTCCAATTACACCAAAAATTTCCCTCTTCAAACCAAATAATCAAAATAAACGACTTCTTCTAACGAAACTAAAAAATAACTATTAAATCCAACTTAAACTGACTTCTATAAAATATGTACATACGAGAGATACGGCAAGACAGGTAAAAACATGAAAAAACAGTTCAGTACTCAGGTTCTTGGAGAGACCTCGGAAGGGCACTTTATTATTACTGCACTGAACAAATTAACTAAGTCGGACTAATCAAACTGAACGGAACTCCGTACTGCTCCGTACCCGTAGGAACAGGGACGAAACGAACACAGTAGTTTATAAACAAGGGATTCCCCTGTTCGAAGCAAAATAGAAATAAACAAATGACAAAGATTGAATTTTGTCCTTCTTTGGCGTGTTGTTTTTAGTGCTTTTCTGGTTTGTTCGGTCATCGATAAATTTAACCTGATCGATTTCTGACGCAATTCTAGTGATACTGACCAGGGGACCGTCAGTTGCTAGTTAAAAAACTCGTCCTTGGGGGGAACTAGAAAATAGTAATCCGTTAATACCAACCTTAAATAAATAAAGTATAAAACTTTTTTTATATATATATATTATTTATATATATTAAAATATAAATAAATAAAACAAAATTTAACTAAAAAATGTTTTTATTTAAGAATATTACATCATAGATGGTCCTTGTGCACATACTCCATCATCATAGAGGGTCCACATCCTATACTTCATTCTCATAGATGGTTCAAACATGAGTATTTGATCCATCGAGTCTAAAAAAATAACATTGATTAGTTGTGATTTTAATGTATTGAACAATAGATTAATTACCTCTCCAATGTTGTCCACATACTCTCTACTCATAGATGTTTCACGTTTACTCGTGTATGATCCATCGAGTCTAAAGAAAATTAATAAATTTTCTCATCTTTATATTCTCGCCGCTTTTAGTTTTACATCCTTGGACGCAACAACTATAAACCATTCTAATACACAACTATATTAATTAAATTGTTCTTAGACCATACATATAAAAAGAATAATAGAAATGTTACTTACTTGCTTGTGTTCTTGACAATAGCGAAACAAAAATGGGCGAAATAAAACAAACTTACGCATAATCACGGATAACTTGAAAAAGTTTTGTAATCGAGAAACAAACGGAAGTAAACATTTGAAATAGTTCCGAGTGGTTCCGAACATCTCGAGTTCAACCGATTCGCTCTAAAAATCACTAAAAAAATCTTCTTCTCTCTAACATATGGTAAGAGCTAATACCAACTCAAAATAAATGGACTAGTTTTTGCCCTATCCTGTGCAGGCCCCCTCATACTGACGCAATCAGGGGACCTTCAGTTACTAGTTAATTCAATGGTCGCTAGTAGTCGCTTTGGGAATAAAAATGGATGCCATGGAAGTGCTGCCACTACAATGAATCTAGATATTCGCTATACTAACCGTAAATAAAAAATATATATTAAACACACGCGCGTTGGTATATAAATATAGTGGTATAAAAAAAATTAATAAAATAATATATATATAAATATAAAATGTTTTTATTTACGAATATACTATATAGTAATTAACAATTTCAGTGGACGCAATTCTCCAATACAGAGACGTAGCCACATGCCGGTGTATATAAGTGCTTCAGGTTTTGAGTTCATGTGTAGAATAGAATTCGTGCATATTTTAAGATTTCGTAAACAGATGGCACTAGAGTGGATCTGAAAAATATCCATATCAACCCATATCACCAAATTGGGTCTATATCGCAAGCCCGACAACCGAAAGACCGTCTATTGAAATCCCGACGTCAGAAATCCCTAGTGTATCGAAATCCCGTGTGTATTGAAATACCGACGTTCGAAATCCCGACTACCATAATCCCGACAATCGGGTTTTGATTGTCGGGATTATGGCTATGGCGACTATATCGAAATCCCGAATATATAAAAATCCCGACTACCATAATCCCGACAGTGTCTCTTATTATTATAATTTCTACAATAACATTTTTAAATTATTTTATTATATTTTAAAAAATACTGAATAAAATGGCTCTTTTGCCCGATTATTAATTGTTGTTATTTATTCTTAATAACAATAAATAATATTAATTATTATTGTATTTTTTTTGTAGACTTATTCATTATAAAACTTAAGAATAAGAAATATTATATAATAAAATTAGTTTATTTTATTAACAATAAATAACAACAATCAATAATCTTATTAAGTTTTAGATTGTCGGGATTATGGTAGTCGGGATTTTGACATAGTCGGGATTTCGATATAGTCGGGATTTCGAACGTCGGGATTTCGATAAACGGGATTTCGGTTGTCGGGCTTGCGATTGCCACCGCACCAAATTGTATGGGTATTTTCAGATCCACTCTAGTGCCATCTGTTTGAGAAATCTTAAAATAATCACGAATTCTCTTTTGCACAGTTAATACAAAGTTCGATACTTTTGTTGTTTGAATCGACATCCTGACCATATTTCTAACTCTAACAAATCAGTCGGTGTTCCATTAAGTTAATATGCAATCAGATTTGCTACCATTTTTAAATGGGAACTTTGCTGTTGTTAATCAATTTTATTATAGTCAACATATGTATTTTTTTCTACTCACTGTATGTTAAGTTTGTTGATACTGCGACATAGTTTATGCACATCAGTAGCATTTAGAGCGCATTGCAATCTATTCTGATGCCTAAGGAAATGGAAAACGTAGGCGCAGTGGACCTTGTGACCTATTTTTTCCATGTCCACACGGCTACGGTCGCCCTTTAAGTACATTCCATGGAATGTTCAGAGACTTATACTTATCCTTCCAAAGCCTTTCGATCATGATACAAGTATAGAAGGTAAAATTGAATTCATGGGGTAATGAGGACGAACGTCAGAAATTAAAATTATATTTATGCATGGATGCAAAAAAATGTGTTCCTAATGGATAAGACAACACTGGTCAGGTGTACTTTATTTTATTGCATCATGTAAAGTTGCATACTTCTATTTTCTTTTAGAATTAAGAAATCAATAATATCTCATCGGTTCTGGATTATTAGAGTAAATGACTTGATGAAATTGTTTTCCAAATTTGTTCTTTAAAATTCGTTAAGCGGAATTTTACTTTAATGCATATAATCCATTTAAAAACTATTATATTGATGGTACGTGAGTAATTCAGTTCTTTTCTGATGCATTTCTTAACCGCGTTTTTAGGCAAGTAGTAAACGTGCAACAATTTATTATTAATATGATGTTTATAATTGGTCTATAATGTGTTCATAATCTGCGTGTTATTAGTTAATTAGTGCATTATTTTCTCTTCCTTAATGACAATTTACGAACAGTAAAGCACGTAACGTCCAGTAAATTGTATTTTAATTACAGAGTAACCGATCTAATTAAAAGTAAACTGCACCTATTTGCTATCAAAAATAAGCAAAAATAAGATTAAGTGGAACTTGGCTCTCAGTTCTACATCATTTATAAAGCTATTAATAATATGTATATCAATACGGATTTCATTTCGTTTACTGCTATTCTCCATTTTTTTAAGCCATTCTTGTAGCTTATCTAAATTTACCTGTAGATATTCAGATGCTACTGCTGGATTCTCATCTGATGCCAAGATTGCTGTATCTTAAGCGAATGTTGCAATCGTAGTATTGCTACTTTTAGGAATATCTGACGTATATGGAAGGTAAAGCAGTGGTCCTAAAACACTTCCCTGTGGCACTCGTGATTCTATTGGATATATATCGGTGTATTCTTCTTCTATTTTTACCTGAAACATTTTTAAATTTAAAATATTACATAACATCGAGTCGGTTATAGATAGAGCGAGGATCAACACATAAACAAAACAAGAAATAATAATTTGAAAAAAAAAATGTATTTTTCCTATATATAATCGTTAAATTAAAGCGGTTAACCCTTGAAAGGCCACATGTACGCCACCCCTTAAAAAAAAATAACTCTATATATGCATCTACTCTTAATAAATACTTTAAAATTCAACTTCCTTGAAAGGCTCAAAAATATTTGAATATTTAATTATTTTGTTAGTTGATGAAATAATTTGTAAAAAAAATACAATCCAAAACCAAATAAATGGATTTTTATTTTTCATACTTTTTTTTTTATTTATTTTAGAACTTTCTGCACTCAATTTGAAATTTCTAAGTACATATTATTAGATGAGACAAGTACGCAAGGTACATTCGACCGCATATTGCCGTAATAATTTAATAAGTCATGAAATTATATAATTCATAATATTAGTTGTTTTATGATGTTTGTCTTGGAGAGTCTATATCGCAAGCCCGACAACTGAAAGACCGTATATTGAAATCCCGACGTTCGAAAACTCGACAACCATAATCCCGACTCTATTAAAATCCCGACTATATCGAAAATTTTTACAATAACATTTTTAAAATATTTCGGAGCGTAGTCACTTCGTGCTACACTTTTATTATTAATAACAATGAATTATTATTAATTTATTTGATTTTGTTGAATTATTCATAATAAACCTTAACATGATGAAATAATCTCAATTACAATTATATTATTAATTGTTATTATTTATTATTAATAACAATTTAAAAGTCACTACGCTCCGGAATAATTTAAAAATGTTATTGTAGACATTTTTGATATAGTCGGGATTATGGTTGTCGGGATTTCGATACAGTCGGCATTTCAAACGTCGGGATTTCGAACGTCGGGAATTTGATTGACGGTATTTCGGTTGCCGAACTTGCGATTGCAACCGTGTCTTGGAATATTGTTACTTAACGTTTGTCAATCTAACGATAAAAATAAAGCGGTTATGGAATATAGTATAATATGCGAATTTAAATAAGCAGTCATAAAAATAATTGCTGTTTTTAAAACGTGATACTAATTATTAATAGTTTCTTAATATCCTGCTAAATTATTTCAATTCAATTCAATTTCAAAATTATTTATTCAATGTAGATACATATACAATGGTGTTATTATTAAATTATTTATATTGTACATCATTACATAGAAGGGGAATCCCCAAATTATTCCTGTGACTTATTAGATCTTTGGCTTTGCCATCTGTCGGCGTCGAGTGGACGGTACAAGTGCGTGATCTTCTCCGAAAGATGTCGCGTTTGTTTGACGTTTATGTGGATGCCAGCGAGCAGCTGTGGCCTAACTAGTTAGTTATTAGTGGGCATAATAAAAATTTGACGTCACAGAGGACGGAACAGCAGGCAGAAAGTTTAATGTGCGCGTATAAACCTATTGGTAATATAGGAAACACTTGTTCCATTGTATTGATGATTTCGTGCCGCGCGAGTGTGTGCTGTGCACGGTGCTTCCGAAACGACCCTACCACCGACGCGAAGGAGAAGACCCTTCGCCAACGAAGACACACAATCAGTTAATTAGTGCGCGCTAGGTGCTGTATATCACTTATATACTTCCTTAGCAGTGACTAAGAAGTATCAATTGCATAAACAATGGTTACGGCCGTCGCAAAGCAGAAGCCCCAGCGGGAGAAGAAGAAGTGAGTACCATACCAACCAACATCCAAGAATAACAAACCATCCTTAATGCAGCCATCCTTAACCCGACGTCTCGCTGTTGTTTACTTTCTTGCTTTCGGGCGATCCGAGTTTCGTCATTTGGGTTAAATGAGGTTACACAAAAAAAAAGAACATACGCGTTCCCAATCCTAATGAATCGGAATGCGTCCGACAGAGACGACCGTACAACTCGTGGTTGAGCCACAGCCGCATTCAATTGTTATAACCTATTTAAAAGAAAAAGTAAAATTAAAGTCCTGATATTAAATATATATATCATAATCATCCCTCTGTTTTATTTAAAACGAGATGCATCCAGATTGATCTGTACGGTATTTCCTTTCATGATTTTTTTTCCACTCTTGAGTACTAATTAAAACGCACTCGAGAGCTTTATCTTACTATAATCCCATTGGCTTTGCGAAAATGATACTAGTCACTCGGACTAACAATCATCGTATCACTTAATTGCAATCCAACAAAATTTCGCTCTTTCATTTTCTAGAGTTTGCATTTCGCTCAATCCACAGAACACACAGATTTGTATTATTATTACCTTTCAACCTAGGATCATTGAAACATATTTGCTTCGGAATCGAAGATACCGTTATTATCTCTCCAATGTACAAATATTTGAGTCTTAATTATTGTTATTGTCTTTTTACTTCGTTAATTTTCTCATCACTTTTTAATTATCATACACGACTGTAT